TTTCTACGAGTTCTTTCCATATACCAGTCTTCGGTAGTGATTATTGTATTGGTAATTTGCCGAGTCACCGATGAGCTTACCCTCAGCAGTAGGGTCTTTATACCGGCGGCGTTGCTAATTTTGTGAGAATCTCTATCTCTGAAACACATGATAATTGTTTCGGTAGCCTACCCTATCAAAGGCATAGGCGGACCAGTCATTTTCATCAGTTGAAATAACTTTTTAACTGCTGGTTTCCACCCCATTTTAGCGCCTTTTCTTCTTTTTTTAGATGCGACATGAATAATGAGCTGACGGAATATCAAGGGATCTCCTCTGTCTAGTCTGTAACACTGGTTTGACGTTGAACCCATTCATGGGAATCACTGAAAGTGAATGGATCAAATTTGATCAAAGCTGCAGAACTTTTGTTTGAGCCTCCGCAGATGGGAGTTGCGGGAAAAGTTTACTTTGAGATTCCACATACTGATCCACCATAGTCAGTGCAATGGATTCGCACAGGCCGATGCATGATGAGAAAGTGCGGTCGCAGGAAGTTGAAACCCAGTTTTGACTGATAACAGTAAGATGAATAATTGGAACGATGGTGATAGGACAATCACCGATTGCGTTACGGGGCATACTCGTTCCGTCTTGTCTTGAGGCTCACTCTCAAGCCCCACCAGCAACCAGACAGCGGCTAATCACATAGGTTAAATAACATATCGGTAAAGACAAGAGGGACTGATATTGACAATTTCTGGCTTAGTAGTCCACATCGGCCAGCCAGGTAAGTGGTAGCAACCGTTCCGGACGGGGTGCTTTAGTCGTTTGAAGGCCTGATTGGCTTTGAAGATCCGAAATGCGACTTCTTCATCGCTCTTATCATTTCTCGACAATTTTATTCCCAAGGCATGCAAACTTCTCAATTGCATACAAAATAAACGTAAATGAAATCCGTTGACACGGTGTCTACCTTCGTTCCCCGATGTACATATTGAGGTTGCTCTCCGTAGAAGCGCCGCCATTATATACGCATAGATTTACTAACGAAGCAGTTAGTCAAGACAAAGTAGGAGGTTGTATATTAAGCAAATGAATTTGTTTTCCGATGGAGATGTAGCTCAAATGCTGACCGAGTCGGAAGAACTTGGTGATCAATGGAAGTGCAGGCATGTCAAACGCCCCATCAAAAACAGCCCAACTCCGAAATGCTGCAGAAAACAATTCACCTTCACGATCAGTGACCAGTTATGACATTCGTTCTGTCCCTCACAAAGACCTAACGCGAAGTTAATTAAATAAACTCCTCACTCGGCGTGTGTTTTGCCCCATCCCCAAAATTACTCTGACGGCGGACTCGGAAAGCTGCCCAAAAGATTAGACAATAAAATGGCCTCTCAGTGCTGAACAGCTGTCTCTGCCATGCGTAACTTCTCACTGATTCAAGATCAGTCTAAATTGGCAAATTCTACTCCACATATAGTTCATTAAGCAACCCAGAAGATGTAGCAATATTTCACGTGGTATTTCTAGGAGCCTTCTGATTCCTCTCCAACGTATAACTGGAAGACTGACCCACCGCAGACGAGTGCCTTTAGAATGTAAATCGGTAGAACATGCTTGTAAACACACCCGCATTAAAGGCGACCTTTCACTACATTCCAAGGAGTATTCGGGTTAAGGCCAGAAACGGTAGTGTTAGGTTTGACTTTGAGATAAGTGTTAAAGTGGGGGACGCAGGAATAGCAGGTAGCACAAAGATACCTTTAGTACGGGTGTAATTTTACTCCTGTTTGAACCTGAAATCGATGTTTTAAGAGCTAAAACCTCATAGAGGTTACTAGTCCAAAAGTTGGCAAGCGGTCACGGAGAAACTAGTCTGCCAGTCTCGATGAAAGGACTTAGCGCCCGTCTTTCAGCTGTAGGTGGAAAATTGGCAGTTGTGCATGAACTATTGGTCACTGCACCCGATTCCAAACGTTTACATTCCAAACGCCGAGAACCGAGAAGATGCTAAACCATCCACGAGTGTCTCGTAATTGCAAGAGGGAAGTGCTGCACTTAAAGTATGAAATCCGTGAGCCAACCCTCAAAGACATCGCTCATTCCAAGGGAAAACACTAGTTCCCTGCTGTTATTAAATAAACATTTTGCTCTACCTGATTCTCCCACAATGGCTGTCTATGCGCATGCACTTTTTAACGGGACCAATCACACACCGCATTGCTGTGACGGGATCATAGAAGTCTATTTATCAACGCACTGAGACGAAATTGGGACTGTAAGGGATAGCTTCGGGAAAGTATTAACAGAAGGACCAAATAACGTGCAGTTTTTTAGTCCAAGTTCTTTTAGATGGGCAGTTACGGTGTGATCAACCGATGACGATCCAGATTTTGTAATGGGCGAAACTACGGCCGTAATTGAAATTGCAGTATTTTCCGTTGTAGAAGTAAGACAATTTGTAAGCAAAATCAAGCCAGACAAGCCTTCTAGACCGGATGGAATCCCTAGACCGATTTTTAAAGATTAATCGACCGAAATGTCGTTGCCTCTTTGTTCGAGCTGTCAGTGTGAACAGGAAACTGGTTTTCGCAGTGAGAGAGGGCTAAAACCGTTCGTTTGTATAAATAAGGTAGCAAAATAGTAGCGAACAGCTTATGCCTATAAGCCTGGCTTGCCATTCTTGCAAAACAACTGAAATACTTGTAAAGTAGGCTATATAAAGATTTTGTGATGAAAATGACGCCTTGCAAAAGTTGAGCATGCTTTTCAGCGGGAGCGTCCCTGCCTTTCAAATTATCTGACTCCTCTTCAAGTCTGGACCAATGCTCTAGTCAGAATCAATATCTGGAGTAAATGATAGAAGCCCTTAAAACTCTATTGAAACGGTGCGGGAATGCATAAACTGTAGTGAAAAATGTAAGAAAATTCTTACAGATCGCTCTTGTTATGCAAAAGTGCATAAAAATATTAAGGAAACATGAATGTTTGACAAGGCGAAGCGTTTGCGGAATAGCATCGTACAAAACGCGCAGTGCATATCCACTGCAAACTATTCGTCTTGACCACCTTTAGTGTAAATAAAAGCAAGTATGCTTGTAGTCATTTCCGTTAGGTGAGTGTTTGAAAGTTTGCATTGACCTTTAACAGATAATTATCCAGAGGTCTGTTGAACACGTTCTCTGTGGGTGACTGCACAACAGACCCTGGCAAGGAGTTCCACTGTCGAATGACCCTTTGAGAAAAGAAGGGTGAACGTTAGTTTGTGCGGCCCAGTTCTTTCTTCAGCCGGCAATCATGTCCTCTGAGATTCCTTCTTGGGACCGTTTTAAAGAGATCTTCCCACTTGACATCCAGACCAGTTGTCAAGTGGAGGATCTCTTTCAAATCGGGCTGGATGAATGTGGTTAGCTGTGTTCCCCAAGGACCCGTTCTCGGTCCTTTACTCTTTATCCTTTAGGTCAATGACAGCCTTTAGGAACTGGACTTCAGTAAGATCATTTGTATTGACGACGGTAAGCCGTGGCTAGTTATTAGGGTCCGAGCGACCGAGAATCTCCGCAAAATAGTCTATGCAGACTGAAAACATAACCCGAGAAATGGCTCTTAGATTTCACTGTGCGAAAGTATACCACCCTCTAACTGCGTCCAGCGAATTACATTATAATTGAGAGCATACGGTCATATTACCAGAACAACACTTAAATTCCATAGAATCTCCACAGAAATACCTCGGCATTTTGATATAGATTAATTTTAAACCATGGATGCGATGCGTCAAAGTTGCAAACAGTGTCATAAAAGTACTGCACGCTATCAAATGAGCTTTTATAGCTTTCAACAAAGATATATTTTGTAAAGTCTACGGCACCTTCGTTAGAACTCATCTAGAATATGGCATACAGGCGTGGCAGTCATGGCTCGCAAAATACAAAATTTGTCTCGAGAAAGTGCAGCGTCGTGCGACAAAATTACCAAGAGGTCTAAAAATGCAATCTTAGATTGAAAGACTGTAATGACTAAATTTTCAAGCGGTAAAGAGATGATTTAATCTTAATTTATCAGATAATAGGCTGCATTGAGCAAGGATTTCGGTTCGATGACATGCTTCCGTGGCACCTTCCACTTCATCTTTGTGGACACGCAATGAAACTGCGCATGAAGATGTCTAAGCTAAATCTCCGCTGTGAGTTCTTCACACAACGGGCAATGGAACAATAGACTAGTATTCCAGATTCAGCCATGGAAGCGACGTTCCTGCAGTTGTTCAAGAAACGCTTGGATAATCATGCATCCCCTGTTGGCTCTCGACAGGCTGAACTCGAACTAATAACACAAAAACTCCAGACAAGTGTTATTTGCAAAAACAATGCTACTCACAGTTTGTAAATATTATTTTCGAAGTTTAAAGCACCATTTCCCCGGTGCAAATTTGAAGATTGCATAAACAGCAGAATTTAATGAATCCATAAATTTCGAGAGTGCTCATCAGCTGCTTCCGATCGCTGCATCACGTGAGTAACGTATGAGAAAATACAGAAGTGAATTCATACAGAAAAGGTCAGTAAGGTCATAAAACCTGGAAACGAAGACTAATCAGTAACGTAAGCATGTTAGAAAAATGCGGAAGGTGAAAGTGAGGAAAAAACATTAAAGCGAAAAAGTGGGCAAGACAGTGTGTAGAACAGAGAGCCAGATGTTGCCAGGACAAAGTTAGGTTAGCTGCATGCTCTAACTGTTTACATAGTTCGGGTTTCAACGGCTGTGTATAGGCTGCCTCGAAATGTATGAATCCATTAAATCCTGTTGTGTATGCAATCTTCAACTATTATAGAAGTGGCACTTTGTAAGCGTGCGTGCACCGGTATTTAGACAACAGGATTTTAAAATGCACTGCGTATTACCCTCACTAAATAAACGGAAAAAGATTGAAACAGTATGATCACACTGCCGAATATCAAACCATGGAGACAAATGTTGAACAAATTCTTCCCTACGAAGACACGCAAACTTCATCAACCTTTGCAAATGGCTCCAAGTGAAGATATGATACTGACGGAAAAGGAAGCAAAGGGGTGCGTGCGAATGAATGTTAAGACTGCAAGGTCCTTACTCATTTTTACATCCTCCTTATCTTCATCGTAGGTGGGACAGCTTGGATGTTTGTCAATTGCACGTTCAATCAGTACCTTCAGGGCTCCGCGCGAAAGGACGTATCCGGCGCCTCCAGAAAAGTAGCCAACTCTTTGAAATCTCTAAAATATGAAACTCTTCTAAATGGCTTCGGATTATGCATGGAATTTAATTTATTAAAACACACTTGGAGCAAAGATTTACGAACATGAATTTGGGTGCAATGTGGTATATCAATGCAACAACCATTTTGACAAAAGTCATTTAAATAGTAGGTTTTAAAATTTGCAATCATTCGTATTGGTACCGTGGACTAGTGATAACTAAAGAGCCCATAATTGCTTGCGGATTGCAACTTAAACTTCTTTTTTTCAGCTTCCAGCTTCATACTGTTTTAACCCAACACTTTTCGCATACTTTAAAGAAAAATTGTCTCGCTTACACCTGGCCTGTCTTGACGTACGTTTAGGCTATTGGGGCATGAATCGAGGCAGATGTTTGTATCCCAAGTATGTTTGTAGATCGAGAAGAAGAAGAAGAAGAAGAAGAAGAAGAAGAAGGCGAACATAAGCTGACTGTACGACGGGAAGACGCATTATCGCAAATGGCTGCCAACACCTATGAAACAGTTCACGAGTCCAAATTCGCAGCCGCGAGGATAGTTGCCCACGCCAGTAACAAGACAGGTCGAAAACTGATTGAAGCGTGGGCCTCGGATGACAACACAGTTAATCGATGTATCGAGCTGGCGCCCGCATACACTGCC